ATACCACAGAGTGGGCGCCTTAAACAACAGAAGGTGATTTTCTCATAGTTTTGGAGACTGAAAGTCCAAGAGGTGCTGGCAGGGTTGTTTTTCATGAGGCTTCTCTCCTCGGCTTAGGGGCTTGTCCTCGTCTCCTCACAGGGTCTTTCCTGTGTGTGTGCACATCCCTGGTGTCCCTTCCTTTTTTTATAAGGACATCAGCATTAGATTCAGGACCCACACTTAAGACTTCGTGAATTACCTTTCTGTCCCAACTGAATGTCATCACACTGAGGGTTAGGGCTTCAACGTACGAATTTTAGAGAGACACAATTCTGTCCATAACAGTATTTTTACTTTGATTTAGACTATTTATATAGCTTCCTTGGGAAGACCTACAGTGAACCATATTTCCCTGGGCTGGAATTTCTACTGTTTTATCCATCCATTCTGGTCCCATTGGCCTCTCCCCTGCTTCCTGGAATATCTCAAAAACTGCTGGTCCAATGATCAGATTTTATATGTGATGGTTTAAAGAATGTGTTACCGTACAATTATTATCTTTCTCATGTGTATGAGTGCATGAGTGTACACGAGTAAGATCAGAGTGAGCAGTCTGGTAAACTGTGAGTGAAGGTCGGGTTATGGACACTGGGGAGGGTATGTGCTATGGTGAGTGCTGTGAAGTGTGTAAACCTGATGATTCACAGACCTGTACCCCTGGGGCTAATAATACATTATATGTTAATAAAAAAAAGAAATTAAGAGTTCAAAATTTAAAAAAAAATAATTTCATCACATATAAACTTGTTCATAGTATATTTATCAAATCACTTAGTAGAAACCTATTTTTATATGAAAATGTATACATCCAGAAAGAATGGCAAGATATACAAATAGAAAGATTACAGGTGATTCTATCACTCTATTGTGATTACCAGAGAAGGTTTTTTTTTTCTTTTTTCTGCTTATTTACACATTTAAATTTTAGGAAGGAATGCATTACTTAGTAATGTAAAATTGATGAAAAGAAATATTAAGGAAAGAAATCAATATTAATAGAGGAAAAAGATCATTCTTCAGGGTTTTTCCATGGTAAAACTTAAAAATACTCACCACAGTTTCCACAAACAAATGTAGGTGTTACCATCATGTACCTTAGATTTTCTTTTGAGGTGCAATTCTTGTTTTTTACTTATTTCCTTTTTGTTTTTAGATTTATTCTCCCTGTCGTCTACTCCAGCCCTATCATTCATCCAAGGACTCTGGGTTAATAAACTCGTATATCCTTTTTTATCTTCCTCTCCATGCTCACACAGTTATTCACAGACATACTATGTGGAACTATATATGTTCACGAATAAGGGGGCATTAGTTATTGTCTGTCCTATAAAAAATTGGACCATAGATAACTATAGAATCATCTTGTGTATTGCTTTAGCCTTTAATAATATGTTCTGGGAATGCCTGGCTGGCTCAGTTGGTTAAAGTCTGCCTTGACTCAGGTCATGATCTTGGCATCCTGGGATCAAGTCCCACATTGGGCTTCTTGCTCTGTGGGGAGCCTGCTTCTCCCTCTCCCTCTGCAGCTTCCCCTGCTTGTGCTTGTTTTCTCTCAAATAAATAAATAATATCTTTAAAAATATGTTTTGGAAATCCCTACAAATCAACTTCATAGTGCCAAAATCTCTCTTTTTCGTGGCTGCATGATACTGTATGCTGTGGATTTAAAAAGGTACACAGGCCTCCAGGCTGTCCCTCCAGGTTCCCAAAAAGGGGAGACATTGTACCCCAAGGGCAAGCTGGAAATTTTTAAAAACCTTTTTAGCAGGGAGATGAATGCTATTGGTATCTAGTGACTAGAGGCTAGGAAGACCGCCCAACATCATACAGTGCACAGGACGTACCACAGTAACTCATTAGGTCACCTAAAACTCACCTGTGGCCTGGGGCACACACCCCGAGCATACTCGGATCTCAGGGCATTTGTCACTGGCTGTTCCTCTGACTGCAATACTCTTGACTTAGGAATCCAAATGGCTCACTAGTCATCTCCTTCAAGTCTTTTTTGAATGGCATTTTCCCACCACAGCCTAACTGACCAGCCTAGAAACTGTGATCCTTCCCCAGCTGTAACACACACAACCGTCCATATGCCTTCTCAATCCTACTTCTTACTCCACTCAACTTCTAATGGACCCCGTACTTTATTTCCTTGCCATGTTGAATCAGTTAGCTTTTCCCTCCTTCTAGAATGTGAACTGCACTGGGGCAATTGAGTTTTACTCACTAATGTATCCCCAGCACGTAGAACAGTGCCTAGCATTCAACAGGCCAATTCATGAATGAATGAGGGAACAAATAAATGGTATGAATGAGGGACATTCATTTTATTTCCCATTATTTTCAACTACAAACAATGTTAAGGTAAATATCCTTATATACATGTGCTTATGTGGTGGTCCTTTTATTTCTATATGGTCAGAATGCTTTCCAGAATGGAAAATTTCCCAGAGAAGCATGAGTATCCTTCTCTGGCTACCTGCTTCTCCATTTCTCTGCCATCCAATGGTGGCTTTTAAAAACCTTTCCCCATCTTTTTTTTTTTTTTTTTTAAGATTTTATTTATTCATTTGACAGAGAGAGATCACAAGTAGGCAGAGAGAGGGGGAAGCAGGCTCACCACCGAGCAGAGAGCCCGATGCGGGGCTCGATCCCAGGACCCCGAGACCATGACCTGAGCCGAAGGCAGAGGCTTAACCCACTGAGCCACCCAGGCGCCCCCCCCATCTTTTTATTTTGATTTGTATTTTTCTGATAACTTGAGGACTTGAGCATCATTTGATATTTTTGTTGATTATTTGAATGCAATCACCTGTGAATGAGTTATGCAGATCTTTTCTGGTTGTAAAAATTTTCATCTCCAGTAAGTCTATAAGAGTTATCTGTATGTATCCAACTTGTAATTGACACACAAAAATTTTTCTAGCCTATTGTTTGCCTTTTGATTTTGTTTATGGAATTTTTAGGCCACAGCTATAATTTTTTTTTAAGATTTTATTTATTTATTTATTTGACAGCAATCACAAGTAGGCAAATAGGCAGGCAGAGAGAGAGAGGAGGAAGCAGGCTCCCCATTGAGCAGAGAGCCCGATGCGGGGCTCCATCCCAGGACCCTGAGACCATGACCTGAGCCGAAGGCAGAGGCTCAACCCACTGAGCCACCCAGGTGCCCCTACGGCTATAATTTTTCACCATCAAATACATGCATCTTTTCTTTTGTGGCTTCTGGTCTTTTGGAAGTGAGATTCTGTCCTTACATTGCCCATAGTTTACCCTCTGTTTTCTTGCAAGAGTTTTATTGTTTTTACTTGTTGCATTTAAGTCTTTAATCCATCCAAATATATTTCTGTCTATAAAATACACAAAAAATGTCATTTCCTTTCAGCTATGTACCCAGATAAGCCAACTCCATACTGAAAAAGACTATCTTTTTCCCCACTGAACTGGTCTCTGTTTTGTATTAAATCCTAATTATCAACCTCAGTGTCCTGATGGCCTATCCTGTTCCATTAACCTATAATCTAGCGTATACTAACTTCATGCTTTAAAAAAACAAAACAAAACAAAACACGCAAAAACCACACTTGGTGAGGAAGAGGAAATACAATCTGGCAGGTCAAATGGAGTAAGAATATTCAATCTGGAAATGAAAGGCAGGCCAAATGTCAAGCAAAAATGAACACATAGGCTGTAATGGAACGTCATAAAGTTTTCAATCTGCCTGAATATACAAATAATACAGGTATTCTTCTCTTTTTGCTAGTCATAGAATGGCTGAGACAATCTTGGGTATTTTTCCTCTGAAGTGTCATTTTAATTAATTCCATTATAATCTTGTCCTTTTTCATTGTGCCTATGCTTCAATTGTTTTGAGTGATACTGTATTAGAGTTCTCCAGAGAAGCAGAACCAATAAAATGTATATGGATCCAGAAAGACATTTACCGTACGGAATTGGCTCATGTGATCACAGAGGCTGGCAAGCCCCCGGGGATTCGCTGTGTGGGCTGGCGGGCTGAAGACCAGGAAAGCCAACGGGACAGATGACATCTGCATGCAGCGTTGAGGGGAATTAATTACTCCTTGCTCAGGGAGGCCAGTCCTTTTTTGTTCCATTTAGGCTTTCAACTGATTGGATGAGCCCCACACCCCTTTCCCACATTACGCAGGGTAATCTTCTCAACATTCACTGATTTAAATGCTAACCTCATCCAAAGACCCCCCCTCCCAAGCTGACACATAAAAGTAACCACCACAAATACCTCAGTTTTTTTTTTTTTTTAATCCCTAAGAAAAGCTAGATTTTATCCCTAAGAAAATGTAGACAAGTTTTATCCCTAAGAAAAGTTGTCTCTAAAATGGTTATTTTTTTATCCCTAACAAAAGTTAGATTCCATGGTGGGGAGCATACAGAGTAGGCAAGACTTCTGGGTAAAAATAAATGAGAATATAAGCTTACTTCTGCTCTGACCCTATTACCTGGCAGACCATTAAGGATTCCTTTAACCTCAAATAACAAGGAAGGAGGCAAACCCTGTCAAGAGTTTGTTGATGTTCATTCCTTCCATCACCACTTATCTTTTATGTCTCAGCCCCTACACGTCAGAGGGACTGGAACAACACTGGTGGCCAGGCGCTGGCCACTGGAGCCACAAGAGAACTCCTCCCATTGTTAACCTCTGCCTACAGCAGGCATTTATCTGAATGTCCCTTACTTGTTGAGTAGATAAAACCTGTGAGTCTCTTAAAACAGGAGTCATGGATTTCCTTGTTGTAGCAATATCAGTTCTGGGTCTAGTCAATAATTCAGAGGTTACAAAGGACTCACTCTCTTTTCATGAAGACTATTGAGCTCTGCCCACACACAGACACAAGGAATGCTGTCTGATATTCACTCAAATGGTGAAGGCAGATTTCCAGGGGTGCATTACTTGGCCTGGGGATCTCTGTTAGACTTACCTGGGGTATGATCCAAGTCTGGGCTCAATGCTTCAGCAGGAATTCTGGTGCCAATGGCCCAGTCCAAGTCATCTTCAGAGTCCTGAGTAAGACTGCAGGCTGTGGTCCAGCTTCCTGAAGTTGTTTCAAAATTGCAACTTCCTGGTGTGCTTGTATAATGGCCTAAGGAAAGGATGATATTAATAGAATGTTCTGGAAATGTACATTACACTAGGTATTATACTACGTTTGTGATAATTTAGAATTAGTGCCTGCCTATTTTACTTATTAATCAATTTAAAGAACCAGAACATTGGCATCCATTGGTAATTTCAATTGTACAATGTACATGATAGTTTTTTTTTTTTTTTTTAATCAGAAAGTCTAGAGGCAGTGCATGAACACTGTCATTTATCCATGAAGGCATTGTATGGATTGACTAATAATATTATAAATGATAGATAAAACTGTGTCTACACATAAGCAATGAACATAATATTATGATAATACAGATAAGTCAGATCAACTAAATCAATAGCTTCAATTGTCTCAAAGTTCAGTTCAGTCTCTGTGTTCACTCTGGTGTTTGAAGAGTACAGACGATTAGAGGGGCAAAGTCATTAAGTAAAAAAAGGTGCCTTTGGAGAAGTAGTAAACTGTAGAGGACACACACCCTCTCAGCATACCATACTAACCAACCACATACAACATTTCAGAGCTAGTCACTCAATATTGAAAAAAGTTCTAAGGTTTGATTGATAACTCATTAAAAATTAAGTTATTCATAATGAGACAAATTACCAGATAATAGCTGAATGTCTACTACTTAGTCATCCGTGAAAAGTACCATCATAATACAACTGATATCTGCTTTCGTTTTTAATTTTTTTCACACAGCAATTATTATCTTTGAGCATTCACTGTAAAAGTGTGTTGTACAGACAGAGTGATCACGTGATTTAACCACTAGGAATCAATTGAGATTGTTATTGACTTTTCCTTCCTTTTTAGAAAGATGACATTTATGTTGCTTTTAATATTTCTTCTCCAGATGGTTTCCCGTTTCATAACTTCTTCTTAATGTAAAACTAATACTAGCATAAAGAAACTGCATCAGGAGAAAAACTTGCTGTTAAAATGGATGACAAACATATCGAAAGCAAAGCTTTAAAAAAATTGTACAGAAAATGTTCTGGATTCCTGATGATATTCTCATTAAATATCAGTATTTCACTTCTCAGGCATGATTGCATCTTATCCTTAAAATCTAGAATCATTTTTAATTATGTACATTTCTTTCATTCAACATGGTATATAATGCATTTAATTTTAGATGCTTATTTATGGGCTCTCTATATCCCCTCCTTATGTTTATCATTCTAGTATCATGATATAAATAGGTTTATAATGTGCTATCAATACAGATGAAAGTAAGAAATCTAGTTCTCCAGGTGTTTAGCTAACATAAGAGCAAACATGCAGAGTCTTCCAGTATAAATACAAAATGGCCATTGTGTGTTCTTTAGAATGATGTCATATAGAGGTTCTGCACTATTGTATTTCCATGTAACTGACTCCCTAACACACAGGACCTATAAAATAATTGTTCTATATCCTTTTTGATTCTCTGTAACCACCCTTGAACCTTCTGTTCCACCTTATCTAACATATGACTTTATGTATGACTCTAAAGATATCAATACAATCACAATAAATTCTATTTCATTCTCTCTACCTCAAAATTATGTCATTTTTCCTTTTCCCTTTTCTAGGGCTAATCTCAGCTTATGATTTCAATACCTTATCAAGCATTCTATAGCTATTAGCATTCTATGGCTCCACTTATTTCAGTTAGAGAACTTTTCCAGGTCCTTCAATCTCACACTTTCTACCAATTCCTTTCTTATAACTTACAAACATAGCAGGGTGCCCCTCTTGATTTAATTTTATATTCTTAAATTTCTTGCTCTGTATACCTTTCACTCAACCTTTCCCACAGCCCTTCACACTTTAATGCAGATGACCTACAAATCTACAGCCAGGATGGAATGCAGGTGTTTACCTTCAAATGTTTGTTGAATATTCCATTTGGAACTTGCAACTGTTGTCTCAAAATCAAAAAGCCTAACATGAACTCATCATTCACCTCTCCAAATGAGTTCTTCTCACTGAGATTACTGATTAAATTCAGAGAATGAATCCTCTCTTTTCTTAAAGATTCTACCTTTGAAGTTATCTTTGGTTCTACATTCCTCATTTCCATATTCAGTCTATCACCAACACTTGTCGGTTCTCCATTTGAAAACTTAATTCTCTCCTTCCCCTGAAGTTTATAACCTCTGCCCCAGTTCCATTGGTCCAAGACCCTGATTTATTTAAGAGCCTATTTTTTTTTTTTTCAGTGTAGCCTTCACTGATCAACTTTACAAACCCAAACCACATTAATCATCTTTAAGAACGCTCTTGTGTTATTTCCATGGCTCAAAATATCAGGTTTTTCATACTGTTTGAATGTACTCTCCTAAACTTGCCTTGCATACAATAACCTTTACTTTGATGCAAAATGTTTTGAAACTGAATCTTAAAATTGCCTCTGTGCCAACTAAATTTTTCAGAAAATTATCTCTTAAATAAAAACCAATTTTTTTTTCAAATTTCATGTTTAAGACTACTTTCCTCTATTTTTTGAATGTTTTCCTTAGTTTTGGGGGGTTCATTTATCAGTCATTCCTTCTCTCTCTTGTAGAGGACAGAAGTGCTATTTTATTTGACAATCCACCCTCTTTCACTCAGATAGCCAGACATGACTTATAAGTTATCTAAGTAATCGTGATGGGCAATGTTTTCTCTTTCCTCATCTTGATTAGTTTAGCCATAGTCCTGGGATACAATATAGACATTGAGCCTTACTGTGGAAAAGGCACCTAGGAAAAGTTTGCCTTTTTCTTAAAAACAAATCAAAAGAAAGAAAATCCATTTATTTTTTTCTCAGGCTATCACTGTAAAGACATGATCATTGGGACCAAAGACATTATATGGGTAGGGTGGCTAACTTTATTACAAAGTCATTTACATGAAAACATCCCTGGATAAAGAAGGAAGGAGTCCATGTAGTTCTAATGTTTTGATAACAGAAGTTGCTACAATCAACCAACTCTAGGATTCTTGCTTTTGACCTCTTACTACTAGAGATAATACAGCTTCCTTATTGTATTAATTAAACATTGGATGGTTCCAAGCAACTGAAAACCCAAGAAGTAGAAGCTGAAACAGACAGGAATTAATTCATCTCAATTAAAAAGAGGCCAGGAAGTTGTCTGTTTAGGGGTGGTATTGTGGTTCAACTGTGTGGTTGCGAAGCACTTATTTTCCATCTGTTATTCCTGTCACCTTATCATCTTCCTGCTCATTCATGGTTGCAAAAGGACTGTGGTACTCCCTAGTATCACATGTGTTCAAGGCATTGAAAGAAGTGGAAGTGGAAAAGAGAAGAGACTTTTCCTCTAGTCTGGTGTTTTTCCTTCTAAAGAGATACCTTCCCCAAATTCCCATGTATAGTCATTGGCCTCCGGTGGCTACAAGGAAGTCTGGAGAGGATGGTATTTGTCGCTGGTCGCAATGCCACCACAAATAAAATTGGGAGTTCTGTTTTTAAGAAACACAAAGGAGGGCCAGGCAACTAACAGGAATTACCATGATGTTAGTAAATATATTATATTACTTTATTATATTACTATATTATATTACTATATTAGTAAATATACTTAAAGTATTACCACCAACGTCTCAACAAATGGCATTTTCCCAGTGGTATAGTAATCCAGCCATACAGTGGTATGGTCAGTGTAAAATTGATCAACTTACTTATATATTTTTAAGAGCTGGCTCCATAATTATTTTTAATTCATCACATTCACATATTTGCCCTATTGAGCTATACCACGAACATAATACAGGGATATTTAATACTTTCTCCTCAGCATGAAATGGCTTCATAGAGTGCTGCATTGAGAAGGATTTGGAAGACTTTGGGTTCAGTGGGAAAGAAGGCTCTGACTGGATAATCATGTTTGTAGCTGCTGCAAAAGGCAGCAGAGTATGCACTCATCTACACCCTGCACATCCCTAGCCTAGAGGACAAAGCACACTTAATACAGGCTTTAGGTAATAATTTTCTTCCAAGTAAAAAAAAAGAGCACATTTTGGGACTTTATGGTTTCTTTTAAAAAGAATCGATTTCATTTATTCCAAACCAGGAATTTTTCCAACAGGAGTCAGAGATGCAAAAGAAAAGTTTACCTTTGTTTATGACCTACAGTAAAAATTTACTTTTGAGGAATTGCTGAGTTTATTTTCTGGTAAGTATATAAAGTATATATAATACATCCATTTGACTGACAAATTTCAAGAGAGTATAAAAATAATGAATGGAAGATGCTGACATTATCAATCCTACAAGACTGAACAAATACATTCTTTATATCATTTAATTCCCAAAGTACTCTATAGAACGGATGGGATTCTAGCTAAGATGAAGATGAGGAAACAAGTCTCTGAGAATTTAAATAGGTTGCTGAACATAAGAGGGTCAACATCAAAATGAAGACTTCAGTTTAATAAACCAAAGGTCCATTTTTTCCTTATTTTTCTCCAAAGGTCATTTTGAAAATTTTGTAATTTATTTCATCATCCACAACAGATTATCTGATTGCAGGAATCTAACCCTGATGTCTCCAATGTATCCAAAAGACTTTCAACATAAAATACTGATGAAGTCACTTTGCAGAATCAGTAAGCCACCCGTATACCCACGTGTGCCGTGGAGTGCTCCTTTTGGATGTGAACAAAGTCTGTCAAAGATCTTTAGGAAAGTGACCATTTCATTTGTCAACATACTGTTTTAATTAAAAAAAAAAAAATCAAATTATGTATGCGGTAGTCCACCAAAGCTGTAGGAAACACTAACAAATATGGGCATGCAACTGACTCAGGTTCTGAAAATCAAAACTGCCTCTGTTTATTTTCACATCAATAGGTCAAGTAGTGTGGGAAAAATAAAAATCATATAAAGCAGTCTGAGAGGAAAAATGAGTGAAGCTGGGGTGGGGGGGGGAACAAAAGCAGCATTCACATTTGAAAAACCAAAATAGTAACTATTTAGGTTTTACAAGCCAATATTTACGTTTCACGGGCACGTGCATGCACGTGCGCATGCACACACATGCTTGTCTTCCTCTGTACTGTCCAAATGTGCTGTGATAACCTTATTATGAATAGTATATGTTACATTTCAAAACTAATCAGAATTCTTTTATAACCAACTTTTTCAAAAAGCAAAGAACACCATATTTTAATATATCCCTTTGCACCCCCCACCTGGGAGAAAGTGAGTTTCTGAAATCTAAGACAATGTCTTACTCATTTTTATATATTCAACACTTAAAAAGCTGTTTCCAGCCCATACTAATAATAGGAATAAATGGAAGAATATAATTTGTATATAAATATTTTCAATACATGTGCATCTGGAAGTGAGAGGAGGAACATTTACTGCCTGTAACTATTTTTCTTTGTGCACATGACAGCTCTCCTTCCCCTCACTGGATTATGTATGTCAATGTCACCTTGTTCAAATTATTTTTCTTTTAGAAAATTCATTTTCTTTTGCTGGTGATTTTTTCTTTGACTTTTGATTGGATATTACTTATTTTCATATGCAACCAATGAATCGTTGACCACTAACATCAAAAACTAATGATACTATATGTATATAGTATACATACATACTATAATGGTACTATATGCTGATGATTTTTTAAATACTCGCTACTTGTTATGTCTGGTGGGGAAAATAGTGATTTTACAAAGGTTTTGGAGCTTTTTTTTTTGAGTGTTACTGGAATCGGTTCTCTACAGTCAGTATCAAAAAATGTATTTTTGGGAGTACTTTAAAAAAGCTAGAAAGAACACTAGGGGGAAAAAAATAAGTTAAACCTAAATAGAAGCTTTTTAAAAAGAAAGTAGGAAATCTTTCAATATATTATGAATTTCATTTGAGAATGCATATATTATAAAGGTAATACATAATAGTTTGTAAAATTAAGATTATGATACTGTGGCATTGATAGTACAGTTTAGGAAGTGCCAGTGATTTTTCACTCCCTTTGATACTTTGACTTAAAATTAAAATATAGCATTAATGTTGAGAAATTTATGATAAGTGAATTCAGTCCATCATAGCAAGAAAAATACTATATGGTTCCAAATACTGGTGTTAGATAGCCAGATTGTCAAATGCATAGAAACAGAGAATCAAATGGTGGCTTTCAGGGGCTGGGGGAGGGAAATTGGAGCATTAATTGTTTAATGGGTATAGGATTTCAGTTTTTCCAGATGAAAAATGTTCTGGAGATGAAGGGTGGTGATATCTGGACAATAATGCCAAAGCACTTAATGCCACTGAACTATACAGTTAGAAATGGTTAAAATGGTATATTTTATGTTATGCACATTTCACCACAATTTAATAAAACTAATAAACACAAGAGAAGAGAAAATGAACACTTCAGAAGCATCATTACTATAAGATCTTGAGGAATAAAATGGATATTGAGTTAAAAAGAAAAATTTGAACATGACTTCTATGATACTCCTTTCCTGTACATGCATGAAATTGTCCCAAACATAAAATCTACCCCCTTTCTCTGTTTGAATTGAAGCTAGACATTTTAATTTGCATGACCACTGGAAAGACCCAAGAGTGACCTTCTAGAATTACCGAGGCTAAATCATATGAATTCTTCCTGTTTTTCCTGTGGCTCTTGGAATGTTTGCTCTTGAAAGTATTTACTCTGGTAAAAGCCAATCCCATGCAAGATATCCGACTGTCCTGTGATAGCCCTGTTATGGAAAGCCCAAGCCACATTCAACTGCCCTGGAGAATGAGATGCTATGTCAAGCCAGACAGAGAGATCAAAGAGTAATAATGTGCCAAACCCGGAGGGAAGGAAGCCATCTTGAAAGTGACCCTCCAGTTCCAGCCATACCTGCTGGGAGCCATGTGGATGAGAAACAACCTGCCTTGCTGATTCTTTTCTGAATTACTGATCCACAAAATTGAGTACAAAACGAAACTTTTTTAGGCTACTAAACTTTAGCGTAGTTTTCTATGCAGCAAACCCTAATTGCAACAGGTAGTTTATATGGTAGTGAGGTTCCGTATGAATGCTCATCAAAAAGAAATACAAAAAAAAAAAAAAAAAAAAATCTTTGGATTTAAATACATGCTCATATTTTAAAACTACATACTTGGTTTTATGCATGACTTCTAAAAATCACTTGAATTAAAGTTTGAATAAAAAAACCAATGTGGCTGGGGTGCCGGGGTGGCTCAGTGGGTTAAGCCGCTGCCTTCGGCTCAGGTCATGATCTCAGGGTCCTGGGATCGAGTCCCGCATCGGGCTCTCTGCTCAGCAGGGAGCCTGCTTCCCTCTCTCTCTCTCTCTGCCTGCTTCTCTGTCCACTTGTTATCTCTCTCTGTCAAATAAATAAATAAAATCTTTAAAAAAAAAAACAATGTGGCCAATCTAGTTCCATTTTCCCAGAGCAATTGTAACTGATTAATCATTTACTAGCATTTATTTGAAGTGCTCATTTTTAGCCTTATCTATAAAATCAACCATCTTCTGGAAAAGGAAATGAAAACCAATGAAGAAATGTAGACCAACAGGTCAGTTTTGGCGATTAAAATTCTGACACCCCCCTCCCCCTGCAGTTCTGCCCAATGACACGCTGAGAAATTTTTAGGACAAGATTTGCTGTGGCGTTTAGTATGGGGATAAAACAGTGTAGCGGGCTGCGATTTGGATGTGTGGACAGAGAAGCTGGGAAAAATGTTTTGACTATTTTAAATCTCCTCTAGTGCATGGAAAGAGTATTTCCTCTCCGTCATCAATGCCAATATGTTACTTTCCTAATGAAGTAAAATCTGTGCTGAATGGGCTGCACGAGAGCAGACAGATCACTTACCACAGTGAGCCTCATCAGACCCATCAGGGCAGTCTGGCTTATAGTCACAGACAAGGTGGGATGCAACACACTTCTTGTTGTGGCACAAAAAATCAGTGGCTTCCGGGCAACTCTCAGAAGTCTCTCCCACTGGGGAAAAATAATAAAAACAAAGTCATTTTTATAATATTTCTTTAAAATTCTAATGTTCCTTTTAGTGGTTTTACAGATACACTTAACTAAGTTACTGGTTTTAATAGCTGTCCAAGGCAGACTTCTAGACACCTCTCTGCTCTCAGTCTCACAGCCAGTTTCCCAGCAACTTATACAGACTGTGCTTTCAAAATCATCCATTGCCTAAATCCAACATCTTAATCAATGCAGTAAAAATGTTCTGTTTTGGGTGCCAACTTAGTTTGCTAGTCTCATTTTCTGCAACTCTCCTGGTAAGCACCTGCAGCTAAACCACAGTACACCCTACTCCTTAAGGGCTCATGAAGAGGTCACATGTTCATTTCTCCATGCGGGCACATCTGCTACCTCCTTCACCTACATTGGCCATTCCCTCTTGGGCTCCTGGCGGTCTGCTCAACCTCAAGACTCAGGAAACAGCTCCCTTCTCCCCTCGTTTTGCCTTTTCTTTGTCAGCCAAGCCCCAGGTGGATACGCTATGTTTCATGCCACCTAAGAACCCTTCTATTCCTATGTTAAATGTTTACCACCTCATAGAGCAGCTGCATTACAGCTCTGTCTGCCCCTCCAGTTTCCAAGCCCCTTAGAAGCAGGAGTTTGGGTTTTATTTTCTTAAGCCAAACACAGCTCCTAATCCATAGTTTGTGCTTAGTAAATTCCGGCTATAGTAACTGAAGGCATAATGGTTTTATCTAAAGGGAGCTTAGGAATTAGCATAGAATTTTCAAAGCAATTCATACTTTTTAATTGAAGTATAATGAACATACAGTGTTATATTAGTTTCAGGTGTACAATACAAAGATTCACCAATTCTATACATTACTCAGTAGTCATTAAGTGTATTCTTAATCCCACTTACCTCTTTTCACCCATCCCCCCCACCACTTCATCTCTGATAGTCATTAGTTTGTGCTCTATTTAAGAGTTTTCTCTTTTTTTTGCTTGTTTGGTTTCTTAAATTCCACATATGAGTGAAATCAAGATATTTGTCTTTCTCTGACTGACTTATTTCACTTAGCATTATACCCTCTAGGTCCATCCATGTTGTCGCAAATGGTTGAATAATATTCCACTGTGGGTCTTTACATATGTGTGTGTGTGTGTGTGTGTGTGTGTACACACATCTTTATGTATAGGGTATGGTGTGTGTGTATATTTACACATAATATATATAAATATACACATACACCATTATCATTCATCTACAAATAGATATTTGAATTGCTTCCGTATCTTGACTATTGTAAATAAGGCTGCAATAAACAGAAGAGTGAATATATCTTTTTGAATTAGTGTTTTCATTTGCTTTAGATAAATATCCAATAATGGAATTACTGTATCATAAGGTATTTCTACTTTTAATTTTTTAAGGAACCTCTGCATTGTTTTCTACTATGGCTACACCAATCTTCATTCCCACCAATAGTGCATGAGGGTTCTTTTTCTCCACATTCTTGCCAACACTTGCTATTTTTTTTTTTTAATTTTATTTATTTATTTGATAAAGATAGATCACAGGTAGGCAGAGAGGCAGGCAGAGAGAGAGGGGAAGCAGGCCCCTTGCTTAGCAGAGAGCCCCAGGTGGGACTCGATCCCAGGACCCTGGGATCATGACCTGAGCCGAAGGCAGAGGCTTAACCCACTGAGCCACCCAGGCGCCCCAACACTTGCTATTTCTGTTGTGTATGTGTGTGTGTGCGTGTGTGTATGTGTGTGTGTGTGTGTGTGTTTTGTTTTTGCCATTCTGACAGGTATAAAGTGATATCTCATTGTTTTGATTTGCATTTCCCTGATGGTTAGTAAAGCTGAACACCTCTTCATGTGTCCTTATGCCATACATATGTCTTCTTTAGAAAAATGTCTGTGTCCTCTGTCCATTTTTTAAATGTGATTATTTGGGGGTTTTTTTGGTACTGAGTTGTATAAGTTCTTCATATATTTCAGATATTAATCCCTTATCAGATATATCATTTGAAAATATCTTCTCCCATTGAGTAGATAGCTTTTTTTGTCTTGTTGATGGTTTCCTTTGCTGTGCAAAAGCTTTTTATTTTGGTCTAGTCCCAAGAGTTTAATTTTGTTTTCCCTTGAATGAGGAGACTTGTTGAATGGAAAAATGTTTCCATTTTTCCAAAGAAATTTCCAAAGAAATCACTGCCCCTATTTTCTTCTAGCAGTTTTATACTTTAAGGTCTCATACTTAGGTCTTCAATCCATTTTGAGTTTATTTTTGTGTGTGGTGTAAGAAAGTGCTCCAGTTTCTTTCTTTTCCATGTTGTTGTCCAGTTTTCTCAAAATCATTTCTTGAAAGGACTATTTTCCCCCATTGTATATTCTTGCCTCTTCTCTAGCAGATGACAATATAAGTGTGGGCTTATTTCTAGATTTGCTATTATGTTTTATTGATCAATATGTCTATTTTTGTGCCATTACTATACTGGTGTGATTATTACAGATTTGTAGTACATCTTGAAATCTGGGATTGTGATGCCTCCAGATTTGTTTGTCTTTTTCAAGACTGCTTCAGCAACTCAGGGTATTTTGGGGTTCCGTACAAATTTTAGGAATACCTTTTCTAGTTCTATGGAAACTTTCATTGGTATTTTGATAAGGATTGCATTAAATCCATAGATTGCTTTGAGTGGTATGGCCACTTTAACAATTTTCACAGGTAGGGTCACCTGGGTGGTTCATTCGGTTAAGCCTCTGCCATCGGCTCAGGTCATGATGTCAGGGTCCTGGGATGGAGCCCCAAAGCATCGGGCTCTCTGCTCAGCAGGGAGCCTGCTGCCCCCTCTCTCTCTGCCTACTTGTGATCTCTCTCTCTGTCAAATAAATAAAATCTTAGAGATGCAACATGGGGGGCTTGGGGGGTAGGAAAAGAATAAATGAAACAAGATGGGATCGGGAGGGAGATAAACTGTAAGAGACTCTTAAAGTCACAAAACAAACTGAGGGTGGCAGGGGTAGGGGAGTAGGGAGAGGGTGGTTGGGTTATGGACATTGGGGAGGGTATGTGCTATGGTGAGTGCTGTGAAGTGTGTAAACCTGGCGATTCACAGACCTGTACCCCTGGGGCTAATAATACATTATATGTTTGTAAAAAATTAAAAAAAAATTTTCACAGGTAAATTCTACCAAACATTTAAAGAATTAATACCAATTCTTCTCAAACTATTCCAAAAAAATAAAAGAGGAAGGAAAGTTTCCAAATTCATTCTATAAGGCCAGATTTACTGATATTGAAACCAGACAAAGAGATATATAGGCCCATATCTCTGATGAGCATAGATGAAAAAATCTTCAACAAAATATTAGCAAACTGAATCCAGCAACCTGTGAAAATATTGATTCATCACAATCAAGTGGCATTTATTCCTGGGATACAAGGATGGTTCACTATTCATAAATCAATCAACATGATATCAGTTTAATAAGAAAAAGGACAAAAATGATATGATCACCATATGATCAAGAAATGCAGAAAAAACATTGGACAAAGTACAACATCCATTTATGACAAAAACTACCAACAAAGTAGTTTCAGAGGGAACATATACCTCAACATAATAAAGGCCCTATATGAAAAATCCACAGCTAATATCATCTTCAAGGGAGAAAAAGAAGATATTTTCATCTAAGATCAGGACAAGGACTGTCCACTCTCACTTTTATTCAGGGTAGTACTGAAAGCCCCAATCACAGCAATCAGATAAGAAAGGGAAATAAAAGGCATCCAGATTGGTAAGGAAGTAAAACTTTTACTATTTGGAGATGACATGACACTATATATAGACTATATATATATATATATATATATATATAGACTCCACCAAAAACTGTTAGAATTAATAAATGAATTCAGTAAAGTCACAGGATTAATTAATTAAAAAATTAATATACAGAAATTTCTGCATTCCTATACACTAATAATAAAGTAGTAGGAAAAGAAGTTACGAAAACAATCCCATTTACAGCTGCCCCCAAAATGACAAAATGGGAAGAAACTTAACCAAGGAACCTAAAAACCTGTACTCTGAAAACTATAAAACATTAATGGAGGAAATTAAAGATGATATAAAAAAATTGGAAAGATACTCCATTTCCATAGATTGGAATAACCAACATTGTTAAAAGTCCCTATTACCCAAAGCAATCTTAACAATTTACATATTTGAGTATCATTTTAAATCACAGGAAGTCCAATGACGATACTTTATACCTTCACAGAGATGTGCATTAACGGTCCCAAACTATTTTTAATCTACTTCACAAATTAAATAAAGCTCACAATTCCTTTGTTACAGATTATAATAGGTACATAGCTGATGTGCCTGAGATAAGGGTAATTTACTCAAAGTTAGGTAGTATTTCCATGAAGAAAAAGAATAAATCTCTTGATAAAAATGCAAGTTTTAACTTCTATAATTTCCAGAAATAATTTACCAGTAAAATATAGTATAAAAATGAAGAATGAAAAGAAGGCATCTAAGAAAATGGCAAGAAGTTTAACTATGGGCATCAGCAAGAAGAATTAAAGGTCATGTTCACTGAGTGGTTTATAGAAGAAGCTTTGCCATATAATTTTTAATTAACACTAGTGAGAATTTATAGTTAACTCAGAGCAGTATGTGGGCATTATTTAGTATGCAACTCTATGCATTGGGGATTATTTTATTTCTCCATGCCATAGGCTGTGGAGCCCTATATAATTACTCCACAGAGGAAATGTGTTTTGACTTTAAATAATTCACTCTTTAGTATTTAAAAATGCCTAGAATAGACTACATGTCTAAATGAGGCTCATTTCCTTAACAATATAGAGTAGCAATGACATGAAAAGAAATCAAGTCAGTTCTTTGCATTGCGGTAAGGCAACCAAAGACTAAAATATCTATAGTTTAGACATCACCCCAAGAAAAAAGAAAAGAGCCTACAATTCTAAGAGAAGTAGATCT